AGAGCGATTAGGCGCTCTTCAATGCGCGACAACAATTTCTTGGAAGTCCATCGCTGCTCTTGTTCTGCCTGGTTGTGATCGCCAGCAGGGTTGAACTTTTGACCTTTAAAATTCCATCGGGCGGTGACTGTATTACACCAAGCAACTGCGGAGCATAATTCTGGTGATTCTTCCGGTGAAAGCTTCTCGCCAGTCAATGGTGAGTAACCCATTGCTTCAAGACATAGGTCTGCCAGAATGAGGGTCTCAAGCTCATCAGCAGCTTGAAAGCAGAGACCCCTGCGAAGGTTGTGCGTGCCATCGAGGGCAGCTGCAATCCCTGATCGTGGTAGAGGGGGGAGGCCGGCACACCAACATCCAGCGCCAAAGCTGCGTCCCGCAAACCTGACTTGTTTATCCTGAATTTGCTCACACCTTGATCTCCGTGCTGGACGTGCGTGCACCTATAGCTTCGAAATAGTACCCACCAAATTTACTTCGGCACTGGACGAGTCTCTCACCAGTGATAGATGGGCAAGTGCCTCGTCAAAGGTGAGCTTGCTTTTAGCCTGCAAGACCGGATCACGAATATCATGCACTAGGGCTGCAGCTCCACGGCGCAAGGCAGCGATGTCACCAGCATCAAGTGGAGGGGGTATATTGAATTGAGTTCCGTTGTCCAAATTTCCAAGACGGTTCTTAATCGTCCTTACGCCAAGAACATCAATAGTAAGCAATTCGTCTCGACGTTGAGCGAGGCGACAGACTAAGCGAGCAAGACGGCCACAGCATTGATGACAGCGGAGGTCGTCATCTAAAGTCTGGGCTCTTCGAAGTACGTTGCCGAATGCGACGACTCGAAGCGCAATATCTCGGGGGGGCACGGCAGCCGCATTCTCAAGCTGGCGAAGAAGATTTTTGGTCCGCACACCACAATCGCGCCAATTCCTGTTGCAATACTCCATTTCTGCCATGCGTAGAGCGGTTTCCAACCAGGCCTCCTCACTCGGTGAACGTTCTCGCTGATGATTGTTTCCAATCTGTTCAGGTGATGGCCGGGCAACAACGGCAGATGTATGAGATACCTTGTAGCATAGGTTCTGTAACCAGGTGATAGTGCCCTGTGCCGACTCGGGTGCGTGAGGCGATGATATTGATGTAAATGAACCGGAAAGCGGGCGCGCTGCCACATCCATATCTTCTGTGTCCGAGATAGCTGGTCGATTGACCAATGGCGTGCTACAGTCTTCCAGTCCGGGGGACGGAATACAAGCTACGTCCTCATATCGGCCTCGCTGCTGCTGATACGCGACATACGCTGAGAATAGGATCGGCTGCTTTGGTAAGGCGCGGGTGGTGTATGTCTCGTCAACCCTCGAATAATTCTCGTCAAGATACTCGAGTAGTGATTCCAACGGAGGTGGATTGCCGTCTTCGGCGATGACGGTAATTTCTGTGCTTCGCACCATGGATGATGCTGCCAAAAAGCTGTCCTCGCTGCCAACCGGTAGAGCTTCTGAAGTTTTCTCACCTAGCGATAATTCCATGTCCCAATCTTCGTTTGTCCCAGAGGCCGATTCAAGTGCTAGGGTCACGGGAAACGGTCCAGCTCCCGTGCCCGAATCAAATAAAAAATCGTTGTCCCAGCAGCCGATTGGCACCTGCTGCATTGCTGTCACTTTAACCCGGACCTAGGCCTTCACGAAATTGTGGATCGGATTTTTGAGCCGTGTCGTCAAACGCGGGTATTGCTTATATTCGGTTTGCATAGCCGGAGGTAAAAAAACTAAATCGTGCTAGTAAGAGAAGTATACCTTGAAGGGGCAATTCCCGCACAGGGCCCCAAAACTTGATTCATACCGTCCTCGGTATAGCAGAGCTTAACGAACCAATGGTTTTGATACCTTGAGCTTCAAAGGATATCTCAAATAAACAAGAAAATTCAGCTGCACAGCTCCGTTCCACTTGGCTTTGTGAGCTACGCCGTCCGTGGGTGACGCCTCTATGGATGCCTGACACCCACCTCAGCACCTTGGAGGGTACTTTTCTCCACCGGAGCACTCAGCTTAATGGTGGCGAGCGTGGATTCAGTAGAGAGCAGTCCGAGCGAAGGTACCCTCGACCCCGCCGAACCTCGCCGAGATCGATTTTGGCACCCAGGTCGATTTGAGGCGAGGCGCAAGCACGGCCCCGCACCGAGACGCTCTCCGGGCCGAGCGGCGGCGTCGGCGTGCACGACGTGCGGCGCCTCTGCAGGTGCACCAGTCTGTCCGTGGCTGTTTCTGTCGCGTCTCTGAGCTGATTGACATCAGCTCGCGCATCGCCGCGCGGATCGAGGAGCGCGGCTATCTGCGAAATCAGGGCTCTCGCGCGTCGAGTCGACGAGTGCACCACCCACTGCCGGCAGACGCGACCGGAACTCACGCAGCGCCACGCAGCGCGTGCAGATCCAGCCGAGACCCTCCGTCAACGCCTCGGAAGGCTTCGGCGTCGCCGACTCGGCCTTGCGCGCCGGGTTTCACTCGGTCGGACCACAACGTCGTAATCGAGAACGAGCGAGCCGACGTCAAGGCAGCGACGAGGAACGCGGTCGACCGGCAGCGGTGCGGTTCTCACCCCTCCTTCTATCGGCTAGGACGCCCGGAACTGCCAAGAACCAACGTTTCGACCCGAGAGGCGTTTGCGGCCCGCGAAACCGACGGCTCCCAGACGCCCACCACGACGCGCGGACACGCGCGTTCGCGCGAGTTGGACGCGCCAGGGGCTCATAGGACCCTCCCAGCTTAATCGTGACGCTCAGTCCGCCAGGAACCGGCGTCCGGGGGGCGCTCCTGCTACTTGAGCCGTGGTGGCTGGGCTGATCTAGGAGTCACCCGGCATGGTAATTGCCGGGTAATTACCGGTAATTACCGAACCCCCCGGGCATTACCCGGTAATCGAGCGGCCATAGACTAGGCAGGGTCCGGGCAGGGTCGCGGTGCCTCTAGCGGCTCGCTGGTGCAGGGCCGCCCAGCCTGAGGGGCTTCAAAGTTCCTTCCTTCCTTAATACCTTTTGACCCGCCCAGTGGGTTTCCCAGGCCCGGGGCCCGGGGCGCTGGGGGATTAGGGCCCCAAGGTCCCGCGTGGGGCATTACGCCGGCTTCTAATTTAGGCTTCCGGCCAAACTAGGCTGTGTCCGCAGCTGTGTCGAATTTCTTGCGTTCAGTTCTGGGCAAGGGCGGCGCTTCATGCGGACCTCCCACTCGTGAGCCGAATCAACGGCGAGGCGCGCAAGGTCCTCGGGTCGTTTGGCGCTTTTTAGATAGGCTCCGTCGAGAGCATCGTGTGCAGAGATGCGGCTTCGGGGGTCATGGACAAGTATCTCATCGACGAGATCAAGAGCCAGTTTATCGAAGGTATTGAATTTATCCCGGAGTTTCCGCCTGAAGTATAGTTGAGGTGAGCCAGCGCTCTCGATAAGGAAGGTGTCAGGCAAGACTCCAAGTTTGCACGGCTTGCGTTCAGGACGATCGTCGGCCGAGTCTTCGTTGTCTTCCTTTGGAGCAAAAGTCTCCCAAAGTGGAAGGTTAATGACCTATTATATAATCATGTCATTTCATTTAAGGTTGGTAGGATCAGTATCTGACATCAGGCCAATCTTTAATTGTCGGAGTACCACACAATTCGAAGATAAGAAAGAGTTGTTCAATCTCTGTGTTGCCAGGGAGAATAGGCTTGGCATAGAGGAGCTCAGCAAGAATACATCCGATGGACCAGACGTCAACACTAGCACCATAGCCATCCTCTGCCTTTGTTGCGCCCAACAGGAGTTCTGGGGGTCTATACCAGAGCGTGATGACCCTGTTTGTGTAGTGTTGCTTTCCATCCTCGTCCGCCTGCAGCCTAGCAAGGCCCCAGTCTCCGATTTTCAAGTATCCTCTGCTCGAGATCAGAAGATTACTAGCCTTGATATCCCTATGAAGTACCTACAGTCCCACACGGAGGTGCTGATTTGCAAGCATCATAGAGGGACCATACACTTAGCGAATGCATGTGCGCCACGCCACTGACAAGCTGCTTCATGTAGCAGCTGATGTAGTCTTCAGTGAGTCGAAGTGCCTCAGACTCTATCAGCCCGCTCCTACCATCCAGACATATACGCTTTGCAAATCTGCAAAACTTAAGATACGCCCGACGCGCAAATCGTGTTCTAGGTACTCGAATGCAAGGTAAACTGACTTGTCTGCATCTCCAAGGGCAACCTGTATGCTCAAGAGCTAACAACACGGCCGTGTGTGATCTCTTCACCTCGCGCAGAGAAACAATGTTGTGGTGCGTGAGTTCTTTGAGTATTTGAATCTCTCGCAACGCTGTTATTGGGAACCCTTCTTTTTCCGTTGTCAAATCAGTTTTCACCTTTTTCAGAGCAACCACCTGTCCCGTCCCGTCCTCACGAGCTCTGTGTACTTTACCATACACTCCCTCGCCGATCTGATTTTCTACAACGAATGCGCTCGATAGATCGCGCAGCATCCACGGTTCTGTTTTATGTTGAGAGCGCATCGCTCTAAGCACTGGGTGCCTGTGGACACGTCAGACTCTGCTTGCGGTTCTCAGAGTCCACTAACAGTTCCACGTCCACACACCATTTGGCTCTCTCCTTTGATCCACCACCTACAGCTGTAGCAGCATCCGGCCGGGGGCGAAATCGAGCAAATGGACGCCAGAGTTTTGCTCATGCTAGCTGTCATTACGTTACGGACCTCCCCCGGGCGTCCCCTGGCCATCCTGGACGCGTCTGGGTCGGGGACGGTGCGCGGGCGCGCTGGACGCCCTTTCGCGCGTCGCGCGGCGACGCAGTGGTGCCGGAAAGGGCCCATTTCAGGGGCGGGGCCCAGCACGGTCGGCTGCGGAGCGACGAGATGCAGTCCAAACGGGACGTAGACCGTGCCGTAGCGTCGGCCATGGGTCGAGAGTAGGTCGCAGGCCCCTCCAGAGGTCTCGGGCTCGTCGTCGCAGCACCACACAGTCGAGTGAAACTCGCGCCGATTCGATGCGAGAGCGTCGCCGTCGAACAAGTCTTCCCCGACGAGATCCGTCGCGCGGCGGCCGCGGAAACCACTCCCAGAGGGGCCCAGGGGTAGGGCGTGGCCGCGCCAGCGGTTGACAGCGCCGCGCGCGTCGACACGAGTGGAAAATGAGATCCTTTCGGGCACGAAGAAAAAGAGAAATGGGCAGCCCATAAATCCCCCCCAACCCCCGAGAGACGAACTCCCCAATCCCGCTGAGAGCCCGGACGAATTCGATCACATAATCACCGAAGTAGGCAGCGGCAGCGGCACGTTTGCCCTCGCCGTCTACCACACAGACAAAGGCAAGGTCGGGGTGTACACTACCGACTGGGACGACGACAGGTTCGCACACCTCAAGCAGGACCTCAGGTTCTTAAATTTCAGCAGCCTGCTGAAGATTTTCCCGAAGCTGAGACACGTGCACTTTACCTGGGATTGCAAAAGCAATTCCCCAGGCGATTTTGATTTGGATACAATGTCATAATTTTAATGTTAGATTTGCGTTACCCAAACTAT